TTATGAAATTTTAAAAAGCTTCTTGCGCACACAGTTCCGTCTAACTAAAGGCTTACTATACCTTAAAAGAACCGCAATGAACTAACTTAAATTGCTTTGGAAAGCGTTTTTTTGATTTAATTGGCATTTAGATTTTAAACTTGAAATACCTGTTTTATGCCAGTTTCAGTCCTGTGTCACCTTAATAACAAATGGAGTAACACCATCATTGTGAAGCTGTGACAGGTACCTAGCGGAACCAAGAATAATTATTTGTGTTTTCTCAACATTCAATACCAAGTTATGACAAGTACAGTAGTGTATCACATTCATAACATCCTTCTGTAGTTTTTTCAAATTCTTGTCAAAGTCACCAATGTTAAAATGGGTGTAAATCTGTAAATCATCAGCATATGCATGATGAACACAATGTAGAACACTGGGCAGATCAACCACATACAACAGGAATAAGAGCGGGCCCAATACACTCCCTTGAGGCACTCCAGTGGCAATTTTCACCCATTGGGAACACAATTCATCACTAACAAATACTCTATGGCATCGTTCGGACAAGTAGGAGGCAAACCAGCCCACAACTGCTTCAGAGAAGCCGAGAAACTTTAGCTTAGTTAATAACAAGCCATGGTGGACACAATCAAAGGCCTTACTCAAGTCCAATAATGCCATAAGTGTGAGCTCCCTGTGGTCTATTGCAGCTCTGACATCATCAACTACCCTCAGAAGGGCAGTCACTGTGCTGTGGTTGCTTCTAAAACCAGACTGCAGCTCACTAAACAGGTTATTATTATGTAGATATTCACACACTTGTTTGTGGACTACCTTTTCAATTGCTTTGGCCAAAACACAGATAATGCTGACTGGTCGATAATCTTTGGGTACTTTAGGGTCTTTAACCTTTGGTATTGGCAATATATTAGCCTTCTTCCATATATCTGGAAAGCTCCCATTTTGTAGACTATAATTAAAAATGTGATCTAGAACAGGGTGCAAGAGAGGTAGGCATATTTTAATAAACTTGACAGGCAGTAGGTCAACACCCATGGAGTTAGATTTTATAGAAAGAATAGCCTCAATGATTTCTTCTGGGGTAACATACTTAAAGTGAAATTTGTCATTGATATTCTTCACCTGGCACTTACTCACATATTTCTCAGTACAACTAGCTATCTGTTCAGGAAACTTTACAGAAGAGACTGAGGCATAATGGTTGTTCAGATCCTCTACAGACACATTCAGATTTGAGGCT